AAAAAAAAAAAAAAAAAAAACTCTAAAGAATCCTACTGGACAAATCAGTTTTATTGAACTTAATTCAACTAACTCTCGAGTCTCAGTTATTAAGAATGGCCGGTGATTTCCTAACCACACTGAAACAAGTTAGTCGAGCCCAAGGCCTCATACTACAACAGAAAGCAACAGGAAGCACCAACTAATTTTGTATTACTCGAAACAAAAGAGTGTAAGCTTATCAGAGAAAACAAGAAACAAAATTTCCGGTTTAAGGTTACGAGAAACCAACTGGGCCATAAAGTTTATGATGGTTCTGCTGCGGTGGACTATGATAGTGGAATTTGGTTGCCAGGTTAGCCGTTAGCAGTTAACACAAGAAAATTTAGTGGACTCAAGACACAACCTATCTTTCACTTTTGTCATCATCGCCGAATAATTCAACCATACCTGCTTTCGAGAAATCTTCATTCAGAGCTTCAAATTTAGATTGATAATCATGCGCTTGCTTTTCTGCACTGCTTAAGGCATCAAAGAACTCGGATTTCACCTGGAAGAGATTTTTGTTAGCATTGAGAATACATTATAACAAGTTCTTGAGCAGTTCAAGAGAACTACGAGCAACAGCGGGGCAGCATATGATAGTCAATGAACCGCGTCAACCGTATGACTAGCTTTTCTGGGAGCACTTTTACAAAAATCCATTTAATAAATAGAATCCTCTAAAATGGACTTCTCAAGAATTTTGCATTGCTCACTTCTTTCAAATATGGTTTCTTTTTGAGTGATTTATTTAAAGGTCCATATCAAAAGTAACCACCACAAACTTTTTATCATATCAAATAGACTTTTATATTCAAAAGTCCATCTGATAAGTTACCCCAAATAAGTATGTTGTACCATACAGGCATGCATTCAAATCAACGAATTACCAACCAAATTATCAAATGCTTTGTGTTCATTTTCTATACAAATTGATAACATATTTCCCCATTGACGAAAATTTGGATTCTTATGTGGGAATAATTTGGAGAATGGAACATACATTTTCAGGACGTATAAAGAAGGAGCATTTTTTTTTTAATTTCTTATTTTGTTCGCGAACCAATTTTCTGACTTATTAAGTTCTCAATATATGCCTTCCAACAATACCTCACATACTTGTACCCTACACCCTTTGTGATAGAGTTGATGGTGGATTAAACTTGGAACAAATGTGCTCAAAAACTGGTGCGAGACTGTAAAAGACAAAGGACGCTTATGTGGTTCCTACCCAGGGAGGTAAATCAAAAGCCTTTACAGATTCTCATTTGGTGGGTGAAAAAACAATTCCCAGAATCCCAGTACATTGAGATTAAAGTTGCGACATTCCACCAACCAGAAATGACTGCTCTCTTATCGATGAAATTACAGTCAGAAATGTGACATTCTTCAATTTGCATATACTGATAATAAAAATAGCAAAAAAGGAGAAAAGTAATTATTATAGGATGTTTTATTTTTGAGCATTTTCTGATAGTCAATCCAAGTCATATGTTCAAAACGTCGCTTCTGATTTCCATTTGTTCTCAATCAAATTGGACACGCCAAAAGAAAAAAAAA